TGTTGATGAAGCAGATTCACAAGGTAAGAGGGGCTGGCGCCCACCTCTGGCTAGTTCTGCTTGCCCCCCTCTGTCCCCTGTACCCCTTAGCTGCCCTCAGCTGAAGACACAAGGGGTGGTGTCATGAGCTGGGCTATCCCTGGAGGACAGCTCAGTGCTGTGGGCATCATGAGCAGGGCCAGGAGTACCCGCTGGCTGTCAGGCTTCCGCCACATGAGGGCTGGGGGTCACACTGAGGGATATGTCCTCACAGAGAGGGAAGCCCCCAGGGAGGCTTAACTTGAGCAGTTCTCAGTCCCTCCAGGCTTAAGGATGCTGAGACAGGAGGGATGTCTTCAAAAGGAAAAAGAAGGGAGCCAAGTGTGGCAGCAGAGCCCCGGCTGTGCCCACAGCCAGGGCAGGGTGGGACAGTTGACGGCACAGGGTCCGAGACAGGCGCGGCAAAGGACGGTGTGCCGCGGCAGGAGTGAGGCCAGCGTGGAGATCTCTAGGCACCAGCTGGTCTTCCCCTGGTGGGTTGCTGTGAAGAGGCCAGGTGTGCTGGTGGCAGAGTGCCTGTTCCCTGGGTCCTGCTGTGCTGGTAGGGAGCTGCTCCCCTCTCTTTGCGGTGGGCTGCACCTGGAGTGACCCACACAGAGCAGCTCAGGAGCTGCAGCACAGCAGGGTCCTGGCTTTGCTGGCTGGGCCCCTGGCAGCTGTCTTTGCTGGTGTGTGTGGGGTAGGGCTGCAGGCTGGGCAGTAACCTGCCCCGTTGTGTCTCCTCTCCTCTGTCCTAGACGAGCCAGTGCATGTGGCTGATGCAGGCCCTTGGTTTCCTGCTCTCTGCACTGCAAGTGGAGGAGATCTTGAAGAACTTGCACTCCCTGATCACCCCTTACATCCAGCAGCTGGAAAAGCTGGCTGACGAAACGGTGAGTGCCTGTGTGCTGCCTCCATCCAGAACTGGTTTCTCCTGCTGGCTGTAGCCCTGGGGCTGCTGTGTGGAAGCAGCGCTCCTGAACGTGGTCTCAAGAAACAGCACAGTGCAGGGAACCCCTCTCTGGCACTTTGCCTCTTCAGTCCTGGTTACCTAGGATCCCCAAGGCATGACTGTGATTGAGCAATGCAGTCTGTGTCATGCTTTGGCTTTATTTTTCCTGGCAGCCCAATCCCTCCAACAAGCTGGCCATCATCCACATCCTGGGCCTGCTCTCCAATCTCTTCACCACTCTAGACATCAGTCACCACGATGATGACCATGAAAGCACCGAGGTCAAGAAAATGCCAGTGCAGCAAGGACCCAACCCAGTGAGTAGAGCAGTAGCTTGGTGCTCTTTGCCACAGCCTGACCAAAGCCTCTCCATTCTCTGCTGGTGCCAGGAGGGTGGGGTTGTGGGAAGTGCAGTGTGTACCGTGAAGAGAGTACTGCTGGTACGTTCTAGCTAAAACAACTCCTTCAGCTCATCCCACTGCTCCTGAGGTGGGCAGAGCTGACCTGCGGGATCCCTCTTGGCTGGGTGCTGTTCTAGAGGACAGCCTGGGTGCCACCTGCCAGCTGTGAGCTGTGCCAGGCTGCTTCAGCAGGGAAGAAAGCTGCCCAGCTTTGGAGATTGGAGGGGGCAGTGGTCCTTGAAGATTTGAGTCCAGGCCATGCTTAGTCTTGAGTCTCCCCTCTCCCATGCTGTGGGGGCTAGTTCTCTTCAGTGCCTCTCTTTCTTTCCAGGTGGTGGTGGTTCTGCAGCAAGTCTTCCAGCTCATACAGAAGGTTCTCAGCAAGTGGCTGAATGATGCCCAGGTGGTGGAGGTAACCAGGCTCCTCCTGTATACTGCTTTGCAGCTCTGCCTGTCCTTGCTGACCTGAGCTGAGGACAGCAAAGGACAGAGTCTGGGTGATGTCTTGTAAGAGGGATGTCTTGCTGGGTTGTCTGGACCAGTGCTGCTTGCTGTCACCAGCAGCCATTTTTGTCTGTCTTGTGCCCCATCAGTTCTGCTCCTCTCCAGTTACAGAGGCCCTGCCATGAGCAGAGAGAGGGGAGGTGGAAGTCTACCAAACCTGTGTTCTGTAAGAGGATAGCTCTGCTCTGATCTGGACTTGTGTCTTCTGGTGTTTCTCCAGTTTGCTCAGTCCAGAGCTTTGCCCATCTGCTACATCCCCCTGGCCACTTCCCCCTGGCCCTCGGGGAGACTTCCTGCTGCAGTGGGAAGGATGTTTCATGGTCACTGGGAGCATCCTGTGCTGCAGGGCAGGGCACCAGTACCAGAGCAGGTCTGGTACTGGTGCCAGAGCCCTCTGTCTGGCTGGTCCCTGTCCCCATTGCCAGCTCTTCCCTCCCTTGGGACCCATCCATCAAGCCCTGCTCCCCAGGACAGGTCTCCTGATGCCAGTTGCTCACGCAATCCCTCTTCTCCCACAGTCTGTCTGTGCCATCTTTGAGAAGTCTGTGAAGACCCTCCTGGATGATTTTGCCCCCATGGTACCTCAGCTGTGCGAGATGCTGGGGCAGATGTACAGCACCATCCCCCAGGCTTCCGCCATCGACCTCACCCGGCAGGTACGGAGCTGTGCTCGGGGTGGGAGCTGCTGCTACCTGAGGGGGCTGGGGGCATGCAGGGCCAGCAGCAGCTTCAGTCCTCTCTCTCTTGCAGCTGGTTCACATCTTCGCCCACGAGCCTGCCCACTTCCCTCCCATCAAGGCTCTCTTCTTGCTCGTTACCTCAGTCACGCTGACCCTCTTCCAGCAAGGTACGTGCGATTAACCCTCCTTCATGCTGGAGCTGTTGTCAGGCTGTTGCATGCACGGAGTCTGGAGGCGTCTTACGGGAATGGCTGTTTTCACTCCTAGCTAAGCTAATGGGGCCATCTCTGTTTCTTGGATTCATCCTAACCCTTGGAAGGTGGGTACCTTCCCTGCAGGGCAACAGAAGCAGGAAACCCCCGGGCAAGACTCTGTACTGGTGTGACAGCTGCACTTCTGCAGCAGTGCTGGGCATCGCGTGCTGCAAGGTTCGAGATGGAGCTCCAGCCCTGCTTGGCAAGGAGGCTGTGCTCCCCGGGAGATCCTCTGGGGGCCATGCTGCTTATAGTGGCCAGCAATGAAGCCCTTGCACGAGCAGGAGGATTAGTGTGTGTGAACATCTGGGAAATGACCTTTCCAGAGGCACAGCTGACCACCGAGCCACTGCTGTGATGCTGAGGATGCTGGCAACCTCCCCTCTTCGCCTTGCTGCCCACCCTACAAAAAGCAAATGGGGTTAGGACAGGCCCCTCCCCACCATGGCTGCCTTCAGCCTCTTGGTGACTTGCCCCTTAACAGGGACACATGTACATTGGAGCTGCTGGCTCTGGTCCTTCAGCACCTCTGTATGCGGTCCCCAAGGGGTCTTGTCCTTTGCTCAGAGCTGGGTGCTCTGCAGGGCGATGCTGTCCCCAGTCCAAGGCTCGGGGCACTCTAGAGAGGCGGGGGAGGCACAGTGACCCCTGCTTCGTCATCGTGCCACGATCCGAGCACATCCCACTGTGCTGAGCTGAGCTGTCCCTGGGGTCAGTGGTGAGCAGGCTGGGCTTACCCAGAGATCAGGTCCCTGCTTCTGCCAGCCGGGTGTGGGTGTGTCTGTGCTGAGTCCCCTTTGGCTCAGCGCCCCGGGAGGCGCAGTGCCTCCAGGCAGCAGCGGGCATGGCTGCAGGAGGAAAGGGGAGGGGACAGAGCCTGAGCTGTGCCAACACTTGGACACGAGCTTTGCTCAGGCAAGCGGTCGGCCAGCTCGCTGTGTACTCAGGACCATGCTCCCACCCACCCCGTGGGTCCCCTTCAGTGGGCAGCTGGCCCTGAGCAGGGTGAGCCCTTTCTGCTGAGCCCACGGGCTGCAGGAGAGGGGGAGATGACTGACCCCACAGGGGCCAAGACATGTGTGTGCACAGTCAGATGCCAAGGTAGGGTGAGTGGTGCTGGCATGGAGGTCTCTGGGCACTGAGCTGCTCTCTCCCAGGGGGATTCTGGAGGAGACCTTCAGGAGGAGGGTCCTGGACTCAGGCTCTGGGAGAGCATCTGGGAATGGGGCGGGAGGGTGACTGTGCCAGAGGCTCCTGAGCAGCTAGTGCTGGTGACGAGCATGTGCACGCCTGAGCCCAGCCAGGCCTGTCAAGCGTTTGCTGAGGTGTTGTCGTTCACTTGCAGTTATCTTCCAGGACCACATGGTGCTCTGAAGACACCCGCTCAGTCCCCACAGTGCAAAAGCTCTAACTCTCCTTGTGGAGATGGTGCCCAGCTAGCCCCTGCTCCTCCTCCTCTTCTTCCCCAAGGACACGAAGATCTCCTTGGCTCTGCAGCACCCAGGTGCTAGTTGGAGACCCTGGGGCTTCAGACCCTTTCCTTTGCAGTTTCTTTCTGTTCTTGGGTTCTCCAAGTTTCATGATTTTTTGTATGTTTTGTTTCTTTAACTTGCTTCAAGCTGCTCATGTTACCCATCCCCTTCCCCACACACCCCTCCTTCCCTTACACTCCTGTTTTCACTTGTAAATTCTTTCTGTATCACATAACTATATGATGTTGAGTTGCTGTTTGTATGATTTTTCTCTTAAGTTACATCTTTATTATATTTTTAGGGCCCAGGGATCATCCTGATATTGTTGATTCATTTATGCAACTCCTGGCACAGGTGTGTTTTAGTTTCTTATTCATTCACTTTCTGTTCTATCTCTTTCTCTTTTTAATTCAATTTAAACCTATTTTTAGCTTTCTGTTGACAACGTTTTTTTCCTTTTAGTTGAATATCGAGTTTCTCCATCTGTTTCCGTGGAAGTTGAAAACAAAACATTCTCCTTTAGTTCTGGGTTCACACCATCCCCAGGGCAGTGCCCTCCTCTGCAGGGCAGCCTCCAGCTGCCAACCCCTCTCCTTGCTGAGGCTGGCGCAGGGCGCTTGGGGCTGCTGCTGCGGCCACCCTCAGGTGCCACACAAATTGGAGCACTAAGTGGATGTTTTCCAACCCGTTTACTTGCCCCACAATGGGTCTTCTGGAGCGGGGACAGGCTGAGCTGGCTGCCTTGGCCTCCTGGGCCAGGAGGAAGCCCCTGCCCGGTTTGGCTGCCAGGGGTTTGGCTCTGAGCAGCGTGCTTGTGGTGGTGTCTGGGCCTGCCAGGGTGCCATGCTGCCTCCAGCCTCGTGAGCCTCTCGGGGTGCTGCAGCCTGGGTGTGCTCTCGTGCTGCCAGCTCAGGGGGACACGGGGACGGTTCGTGTTGGCGCAGCGGGGGCCGCAGGCTGGCCGGTGGGGCTGGCACTAGTGGGCAGGCAGGGCCAGTGCTATGCTCTGTGTGTATATACGTCTGCTAGGAGCAGTGGGAGCCTGGAAGCTCCTCAGCCCGCTGTGGCCCAGGAGGGAGAAGCCCTGAAGTCCTCGATGCACCCGGTGCCCTACTGGAGATAGGTCTCCCGGCACCTGCTCAGGGTAGGTTGGTGGTGAGGAGGGGCTGGCAAAGTCATTCTCAATTTCTGTAATGGTAAGACCTCTGACCACATGTTGGCTTGCAGGCTGTTCAGGGACACCTCCCAGGCAGCTGCCAGAGCTGTGGCTGTCCCACCCTTGCTGGCAGCCAGGGAAGGGTGTGTGGCATCTCCGGGTGCTAATCTGATGGCAGCTCGGCCCTCATGTGGTTCTCATGGGACGGAGCGAGCAAGGGGGCTGCACCTCACCCCCGTAAGCAGGGTCTGCTCCTCGTGACACTCAGATCTGCCTGAGATCCATCACATCTCTTACAAGCTGTATCACAGTGTTTTCTCTCTGCTTTTCCTCTTTGAAAGACGTATTATGATCGGGGTTATTGGAAAGTATTTGCAGTTTTGCTGGTGCTGGTTGTGGAACCCACTTTAACATGGGTGAGTGGAGAACTGGTGAATGGGGCCTGTGTGAGGTTCATGGAGATGTTCTCCCTGTCTGCTCAGTGCTGGTGGGACCTTTGCTTATGCACTGTGCCCACTTTGGGACACAACATTTCCTAGATACAGACCAGAGAGCACATAGAAAAGCATGTGGGAAGATGACCGCTTCATATGTGTGGTGGGGAGGAAAGGCTGACGGGAGCCTGAGGAGCTGCATGCATCTTGAGGCGTGTAAAAGTTAATGTCTCAGTCATAGGTAAAAAACCCTTTTCTGCTGTCCTCGAGTAGGACAAACAGTTATAGAAGGAAATCATGGAAAAGGACCTAGGTTAGGCAGTAGGAGGTTTTTCTGAGCACAGAGGAGCACTGGAAGGTCACTTAGGCAGCTGCTGTCGTGTGGAGGGCTTGAAAGGACTCAAAGAGCCTGTTGCTCATGGAGGGCAGGTAGATGTTATCTTGCTGGAGGGGTGGGAGACTAGTTGACCCTGAGAGACTCTTCTAAGGCTGGCTGTTGTTTCTTTGGAACATGCTGAGTTTCTCTCTGGCTTGAGGTCCCTGTCTGTGTTTGGACACGGCAAGTTTGTGCTCTGTTGAAGGGAAGAATGCAATCATGCTGCACTTCTACGGAGAGTGCTGTCAGAGCAAACACCACCCATCATGGCTGCTGGGAAGCTGTTACACGTGGCCTTCATGGGCAGGATCTGCAGGCATGGCTGGGGCAGTGTGCTGGCAGCCAGCCTGGTCCTTGTCAGGCCATGGACATGTCCTTTGGATGTCCTGTTACAGGAGCAGCTCAGAGGATCCTCCTTCCATGGCTGCTCCATCGTGGATCACTGCAAGGGGCGAGCCAACCACTTCCCACAGCCACTCAAGACCTGATGTTTTCCTGGACTTTTTATTCCAGAAGCCCCAAGAGACCAAAGGGTCCCATCCCCATCCTGTCTCCTCACACTTATTTCAAGGTTTCTTCCTTTTCCTTGGCCCATCCCTCTTCCAAGACTGATGATCTGGTGAGGTGCTTTGAAACCTGTGAAGAAATGATCTTACCATCCCTGCTTGGCTTCTTGCTCTCAGGACTTCAAGAGCTGTCTGATGGCAGAGATGGGTCTGTCCTCTTCCATGGGACCATGCTCTGCAGTGATGCTGTTAAGCATTTGTAGATCCAAGGATTAAAGTCAGAGAGAACTGCAGATCTCTTCATATCTGATTTTCTTGTGGTGGGGGCTGTGTTTTCAGCCCAGCCTGCTCCACCTGCAGATCTCTTGGCAAAGTAGTGCTTCTTGTGGAGCAGCAACAAGTCTGGACCCCAGGGTGTGTCAAGGTGGAGACTTTCCCACTTCTCCGACCATCTGCTCCTGTGGTTGATCACCTTGTTGGAAGTAACATCTGTATTTCAAATTTGTCTGGTTTCTCCTTGCGGACAGTGTTTTTGTCCTCTCCCTTTGCCAGCAAGTACTCTCCTACCTTCTGATACCTGCACATCAGCTCGCTGTCACCAGCTCACAGGGAGCCATCTCTCTATATTCATTTGGGCTTGGTTGCAGCCTGTGGGACTGCCCAGTTGGTGTAGCTGATCGTTTTGCCACCATGTTAATTGGCAAAACATTCCTGACCATGGCTGGCTGATCACGAGAGCATGCTGGCCTGGACCAAATGTCATACAGATGCTGGAGACCCTGGAGTTATTGTTACTACTCAAAGCTAAGTATAAAATAATGAGTCTGCTGTAAGGATGCACAGAGTGCTGCTGGCACAACCCTTTGTGTTGAGATGTGTCCCCAGCTGTTCCCCTCCTGCCTCTGTTGCGTGCTGGGAGTGGTGCGGAGCGTCGCTGCTGCTGCTGTGCCCGAGGAGAGTATCCTGCCTGGAGGGCTGCAGGGCTCGGTGCCGCCCGTGCGGCCGGAGTGCCCATGGCCAGGACCGTGGTGGCTGGGGCTTGGCCTGGGTCCGCCTCTCCACACCCAGGCAGGAGGTTCAGGAGTTAGGGAGCTCTCACCTGCTCCCTGGCCAGCAGGTGTCACTCCTGTGCATGCTCCCGGTTGCAGGTAGGACCTTTTGGGGCTCCCCAGCCTGCCTTCCCACCGGCGGCTGCAGGCACATGCACCCATCCTGGCAGGGCTCCATGCCAGCACAGACCTTGGGAGCACTGTGGTGACCTCCCCTGATCAGGAGCCCGGGGCAGACTGGGCAAGCATGGCCCTGCCAGGCAGAAGACGCAGGACTGACCTGTGATGGCCCAGCCACCGCCAACCCCCACCTCCCTCCCTCCCCAGGAGGGCTGGTCCAGGCTGCACTCTGCAATCCTTGAGCTCACCACACCTGCTCCAGCCAGAGTCATAGAGCCCCGTGGAGGACAGGGGCTCGGCATCCCCTCTCCCCAGATCCCTGGCCCTGGTGCCTGGCCATGATCATGGGCCTTTTCCAAAGCTGGAGGCTCTGCTCTGACAGGTGTGTGGTCTGGGAAGAAGTGGGGGCACCAGACACAGGGGCTTGAGCCGTGTGTTTTGGAGAGCTACAGGAACTGGCTTGTATGGCCCCCACATTGTTCCCTGTCTGCTGGAGGAGTGAGGTTCAGTGTCTGTTCCCTGCCTGCCTGCCTCTGAAGAGCTGGGTACAGAAGAGCCAGCTCTGAAGATCTGTCTGGGGGGCCTCCAGCTGCTGTGGAGAGGAACCCAGTATCCTTCCTGTACCAGCCTGCAGGACAGCCCTCTCCAGAGAGCCAATGCCTACCTCTGCAGTGGCTGCTGCAGCAGAGGATGTGGGGGACATTTGAAAGCATTTAGAGACCTGTCCCCATCCCAGAACATGTTTGGCTGAGCAGACCGGCTCAGGCAGGAGACAGGACAGACTGGCAGTAAGAAGCCCCAGAGCTGGAGCAGGGTTCCAAGTGCTGGGAAAGAGCAGCTGGTTCTGCTTGCTAATGGGTGAAGCTCCACAGGGCTGCATCTCATGGCAGTAAAAGGCATCTCTGTCTGTAATAGACATGTACATGTGCCCAGGTTGGGCTTGTACTCCATGCTCCCTTGGTGGAAGTGTCCTATGAGAAGGAACCCTCCCAATATTGGCATGCTTTCCTCCATGGCATGGACAGAGTGAGGAGCAGCAAGTCTGCAGGAGAGCTTGGGAGGCTCTGCCAGCCACAGAGGGGTCAGGTTTTGCTAGGAGAGGCATCCTGCAGGTAGGTGGCAATCTGAGCATGCTGGAAGACTCTTGTACCAACTGAATGGTCTTGCAGTGCACAGGACTTGGATTAAAACCAGCCCCTTGGACAGGCAGCATAGAGGAACCTACAGTTGGGTGGTATCAGGGGAGCCAGCTGCCCTTGAGCAGCATGCTGCTAGGGGAGGGGCTTGTGGTCACTGCTCCAGAGCCTGCACCAGGGGCCCAAGCGGGTGTCATCTCCTACAGCTAAAGCTACAACATCTCTTGCAAGTGTTCGTCCAGTGTGGGGCAGCTATGATGAGTGGATGTGTTTCTAAACCATTGCCCAGCCACTAGCTAGCCTTCTGACGTGGGTGCTGGCATGTCAGGAGGGATGGTGCACAGGCTGCACGCACATGCACAGGTAAAATGGAGACCATGATTGCCCCTGTGGAGGTCTACACTTGTATCTAGCAGGGAAGCAGAAGTCCCTGCAGTTGTGCCATCTCTGCCTGGTACAGCGATGACTTCTATGCCCAAACCTGAGTCCTGTCTTGCAGCGTGTCATACAAAGGGTCAGAAAGGTGGTGGGGTAACACTGAAACCTGCCTCTCGGCTTCTTGGTCTCCACCATGTTCTCTGCACTGGGCAGATGGCCATGGGCTTTCCATGGAGAAGAAGGGGTGGGAAATAAGTTTGTTTTGCACCAGGTAGAGACTGTGGCTATGGGGGGATGGCCATGCATCCTGGGTGCTGCTGGCTCAGAGTTGTCCCTGCTTTCACCCTCAGGAGCAGGCTCAGAGGGCAGCAGTGGCCCTGCACACAGCTCTGCTGAGGGCTGCCTGCCCTGGTGGCCTGCTCTCTGAGCTGCAGGCTCAGAGCCCAGCCACTCCACTGCTGTGTTGCAGTGACAGTGGGGCAGGAGGCTTGGCTGTCATTCCTAGTGCTGGGACCCAGCAGTGGGCACAGTGACATGGTGGTCAGGGCGTGGACATGGCTGCCTTAGCAGGGCTCACTGTGGCAGGGCAGAAACCCTTCCGTTGGAGTGGGAGCTCAAACATTTCTGTCCAGTAACTGCCCAGTGCCAGCACAAGGGGGACCAAGCCACTGCACGCAGTGCTATAGCTCAGGGTGTCCCCAGAAGCAGTGTCTGACCCCCACAGAGGCTGGTGGGATTGCCATGTGGCAGAAAAAATCCCAAAGCCTTTCTGTTCTCAGACTCGCTGCTCAGGAACTGCCAAAGAGTGTTGGTATCTCGTTGTCAGCTGTGCCTGAGAGCCAAAGCAGAGTGAACTGCTGGGCCAGTGTTGGGTCACCGCTTGAAGCAGTTGCTCTGACTGCAAGGACACCAGCATCTTGAAGAGAGAAGCAAAGCACAGAGGTGGCTGGGCTCTGCTGGTCTCCGCATAGCTGCCCTTATCCTGGGAGCACTGCTGCTGTCTGGCCTGCTCTAGTGGGACAGGAGCTTTTTGTCCCATCTCTGCATCCAGACCATTTGTGTGTACACTGCCGTGGCCTCTACCTGCGGGTCCTGAGGTCGGTGGTTCCTGGCCATAGCTGCCAGCTGCCTGGCTGCTTGAATGACATTTTCTTGGGGGGGAAAAGTGATGGTTTCCTGCTGTACTGTGTGAGCCTGCCGTTTATCGTGGCTGTGCCCAGGTAAGTGTGCGTCCAGGCAGAGGCTGTCTGGTGCACCAGGTTCCTCGGAGGCTTCGTGGCTGCCTCTGCAGCGCCGGGTTTATGCTGCCTGTCTGTGTGCCTTGCAGGCTCTGAAAAGGAAGCCAGACCTCTTCCTGTGTAGCAACCTGGATGTCAAAGCAGTGTTTCAGTGCGGTGAGTACCACGGGCACGGGCTGATCTGGGGTGGCGTGCGGTGTGTCTGGCTGCTAACCTGGGCCGTGTCTGCCCGCAGGTGTCCTTTCGCTCAAGTTCCCCGAGGCCCCAACAGTCAAAGCATCCTGCGGCTTTTTTGTGAGTACTGTGGCGCCGTGCAGGGGTGTCTGCGCGTCCCCGAGAGGCGGGTGGGAGCGGGGCCGCGGGCTGGGCACGGGCACTGCG